TTTTTTTATCAGTATATTAGCAGTTCTCTTGCAGATGTCCTAAATTTTATTTTGTTACCACAATTGTGATTTGGGGTAAAATGTCTCCAAAAATTATTGGATGAATTGAACCGAAATTTGTCCAGACACTGTGATCCCCTCAGGAACTTTTTATTGTTGACTCTCATGAACTAATGTCATCAGGTCAAATCCACAGTTCTTCTCAAGTGGTGCTTCATGACTAAGTAGCTGTAAACAACAGATTAACATTATCATCTGTTATCTACAGATGAGACATTCGTGACTGTAGCAATGCTTACATATTGGACCAAGGTGATGAACTTGATCATCATGAGGCTCTTTGATCCTGTCTATACTCTATCTTTGAATGTGTTCTTCATTTAAAGTTGTTGATTCTGTCTTCAAATCTCCAGCTGATTGTTTTAATCAGTTCCACTAATAATAATACTAATAAAATAAATCATAATCATTATTTGTTGGCAGAAATGGAATACTATAAAAGTAAAACATTATATAAGATGGTCATGGTGATTTTTTAATAATATAAAAGTCACTCCTGAATCAAATGGTAAGCCGTCCAAGTGTTTAATTTATATAATATATGTATAGGTATATATATTTCCAGGCAAATTTAGGTTACTCATGTTGGTTTGCTAGCAACATTTTTTAACAGCATTAGCTAACTTCTTCGCTAATGATGTTAAAATGCTAACTGAATTTTCAGTCTGGACAATCATCTATAGAAACAACAACAGGTTTTATTTTAGAAAGTGAAACCTTTCAGCTAATAAGGGTAACTTTGCTTTTGGTTACTCATGTTGGTTTGCTAGTAACAGTTTTTAACAGCATTAGCAACTTCTTGGCTTATGCTAACTGAATGTGCACACAATGTTGATCCTTAACCAACACTGTTATGATAATGTAGAAACAACACCAACATGAGGATTCAGCTAATAAGGATAGCTTCACTTTTATTGCCACTAGAAGGTCAAAGAGCCACTGCACAGACATTATGTTGGTCTGTTGCCACACTCCTGACTTGCTAAGCTAGCTAAGGAATGATAAATAAACAAAAACACTGTTAAGATTAGCAAGTCAAAGTGATGCAAAATGTCAAAGGACAAGACAAAAAAGGAACACTAAATCCTTTGCTAATGGCACATTTTCCTACATGGCATCCCTGTCAAGGGCATATGTGGACACATGATGAAAGGACCCTGGTTAAATGCATCCTGGAAAACCTCACAAGAGATTTTAGCAGTTGAATTTCCATTGTTATCACATTAAAAAAAACACATCTTAAAACCAAGGATCAAGGTTTTATTTTCTGGCATTTCCAGCAAGTGGTGGCAGTTTCATTATCTTATTAACGAGACAAAGCACAGCAGCCTTCACGTGTCTCTTCAGCATGTATCACATTCCTTGCAGCTGATAATGGGGAAATCTGTTCAGAATTTTGCACACCTAACTTTTTTGCACATTAGAAGAAAGAAAAAAATAAATAAAGATTCAACCTTGCCTCTGAGTCTCAGGTATAATGGGCTCCCTCCATCCCCGCTGGTGATGGCTGTGTGCATCAAAACCTAGCAGGCTGGGGAACTTTTTCAGATAACACAGGTCTTTGGAATGTGACAATGTGCTTTGGGTTTCCTCCGACGAAAGTGACTATGCAGCCTGACAGTCTTTTGATTTCAATGGTCTCTTAGCAAGAAGAATCTTCTTCACAGATATCCTGAATCACCAACGGCTCAGAAACATCTCCCTCTACATTACCGCTGTTCTCGAGAACAAAAGCTAATTTTTAGCGTCTGGTAAATTGTCTGGAGCTCATTCTT